GAATGCTAATTGGAACAGTGAATGGCTGGAGCAGAACAGTAACAGAATGCAAATCTGTAATCATTCATTTGATTGTGAGCTCCCTGGAGAAAGGACTATCCATCATGATGGCTTGTGGATAGTACTAGCCATTACCATCAATAAATAATAATTGTAATGATTTTATGGAAAATTTAAGTCTGAAAGTTCCTTCAGGAAAGAGAATCACATCAGAGGAGAACATCACCAACAATAAATACCCACTGTGGCACAGAAGACGACTTATTTGCTGAATAAGTCAGAACTATAAGAACTGAATAAGAAATACATTTGAAAAAAATCATAAGCTGTTTATGGACAATTTGTGGGCAGTAAAAGGGCAATATTCTATAAATGGCCAGGTCTTTAATTAATGTCCAAACAGTCCGTGATCTCGCATTGATCCTGTGAAGCGCAACAATTTAACCCTGGTTTCTTGGCCAAATTCCAAAAGTCTTTTCTACAGACAGTTACTTGTAATTATTCCCAAGAATTTACATTAATGTCATGGACATGGTCACGTACCTGTACAGAACAGATAAATCATTTTAGCAGTGCTCTAAGAATTGCATCTCTGTCCAGAGAGCTTCAAAAGGTCAGCCTTTAAAGACCAGAACTTTGCACAGCAGTGAATAACCTACCCAGTGAAGCGTTCCTGCTTTTAGGAACCTCTGCACTCCACGGTGATGGATGATTGTCCTTGGCCATACTGGATGAGCTCCTCCGCTTACTGGGGGAAGGAAGGGGAAAAAAAAAAAAGAGAAGAAAAAGAAGACACCTGTAACAACTCACAGAGGTTCTTATGAATAAGCTTACACTTAACTACTGCATGAATCAGAATACGTCTACATCTGGATTTCATGGCAGGTGTGTTGAAATCTGGGTGTGCAAAAGTCTTGTTCCTTCTAGAGGCCTGGCATGTATTTCAGGAAGCACACTGCAGCGCTCTCAGACACGAAACAGATGGAGGGAACTGCATTCACGGCTGCTCTGCAGGGACACCAAGGACAGGCAAGGCTTGACATATGTATTTGGTCTAATCTTAAACAAATTCCCACTTCTGGAAAGAAGGCCTCATTGTATCAAGTCCTACTCTGTCCTCCACCAACATATGCTCAGCAGAAGAAACAGTGCAGAACTTCATGGCACTGTTAACGACACTCAGACTGAGCAGAGAGGCCTTGATGTAAGCTGGAACAGCTCTAAGCTATAACAGCAGGTTGCATGCCCCTACCAAGAAATCATTCAAGACATCAGGACCTCACTTCATCCTTCCCAAACATGTCACTACAGAGGAAAAGAAAAGGTGGAAGATGTTGGTGTTGAGCCCGGTTTTTGTACTTAGTTTCCTTTTACTAAGGGAAATCTCAAGCGACCATGTCTTGCACACCTTGGTAAATGCTTCTAAGGAACAGAATCAAAGACTGGTAAGACACAGTTTTAGGGCAAGTTATAAAAGAGTTTAATAAGAGCGTCAGTGAGTTGCACAATGGGAGGGGAAAAAACCAGTCTGGATTAGCTGAATATTACAAACTCTAGAATATTACACAATAATATATCCAGACAGTAAAGGGTCACAGCTCAAATACTGTGCCTTCGTGACAAACTCACCCATGGTGATTCTGCTCCTGAGGCAGAGCTGCATCTATTCATGTTGGCTTCTGGAGCTTTCCCCTGCCCAGGCAACCTTCTGCTGAGGTTTTATACTCTGCTATATCCTGCTAGTTTTGCTGTGGCTACTTAATAGTTGGTGTTTTTTCTTGTAGAACACAATATATTTCTAAGGCTGACATTGACCACACAAGGGTCATTGACCACATAGTTGTATGATACTTCACACAGCCAACTTCTAGCATCAATAGTGGTCAAGATGCTTATTAATGACTCATGGGACTTGAGCTATAGTTTGGCCAAATCCTTTGATTTTCAGTTGGCAGGAAAAAATAGTTATTTCCTAAACAGCTGTACAGAAACCAAAAAGAAAAAGCAAGGAGGATTTGTAGCTATTGAAACCCATGGAAGACCTCCAGCTTTGGTGCTAGAAATTCCCATTTCTTCATTTCAATACCCCAAATTAACCATTGTTTAACTTGCCCAGGGAAAAACAATGACACTGAGGAAATGAGTGAAGAGATGTGAATCCAGGCATCCAGTCTCTGTACGGCTCTGCCCTCTTCTGCTGTGTGACCTTGAATTTGATTAGGATTCACCTTCAGTCATCCAGACTCCTTCTAACCAATGGAGAGATCCTGACCATTGACTTGGCCTGGGAAATGCCAGTACCTCTTCACTGACTAAGGAGGACTCTTGAGGAGCCACCAACCCCAGGATCCCCCATCCTGCCTGATGGGCTCTCTGGTGGAAGGCATGGAGCCCACCTTAGCTCTTCAGACTCTCAAGTTCTGGCCAAGGGGGATTTTGAGGCTCTGACGTAGCCACTATGGAGCAGCCTCTCATGTGAAAGCAAAGATGAGCAACCAGGGACCTTGTATGCGAGATGCCCAGACTTTCAGCTTTCCATTAACCAGCCAGATCTCAGAGCAGCATGTTCCCCAGGGGTGTGCCAGAACCGGGCAGCCAAGATGTAGAAACAACCCTGGCTGGCATGTCTCAAAGCAAATGCTACTTGACTTCAACTGGAACATCAATGAAATTGAAATGCCTCCACTGAACATTTCAATTTCAACAAACTGACATTCCAACAAAACATGCCCAGCCAGCTCCACGCTGCAAATCTACATGCTTTTGTGGGCAAAAATTGTTTCTTCATTTTCATCTGTTTCCTGATATGTTTGATGGCTTGCAGAGAGGACGCCCATTCTGTTTGGCACCTACTGAAAGAGCAGTCGCTCCAGAACAAGTGTACCTCAAACTAGAGCTGTTGGGGAACATTTGCCACTTCCACCCAAAGCATCACGAACCGATCGCCACAGTGGCGGATCAGCACACTGGGCTGCTCTTGGTGCAAGTCTTAGCGACTGACAGCTTGCAGGACCTGACCCACAATCACGCAAAAAAAGTTTCTTTGCTCTGATCTGGGTGAGCAGAAGCATTTTTCTCAGGGAGTAAAATTCTCTTCTACTATCAAGTCTGGATCAATTGACACATTACTGATAGCTGTCCCTAATATGAACATTTTTAAGTGTCCCATGTTGCAGCCCATATTCTCATTTTTAAGTGGTCAGATATCTGAGACTGTATCTGTTGTGGCCACACTTACACATACACACATGCATGGCTGCTCCCTCCACCTCAAAGCAAGTTTTGCTTTACAGCTTGTAACACCCAGATATAATTCAGATTCCCTTACAGTCTGAGAGATGAGATGTCATTAAGTCTTGGCAGCAGATCTTCTGGTGTGTACGGTGTGCCTTTACATCTGGCATCTGAATCACACAGCACGGTTTGCAGGAATGGGAAGAAGCCTGCACTAGGAAGGTTTCGGGGTGCAAGATAACCTATAGGAAGGAGGAGAAAGAAAATGCCATTATTATGATGCAGTCATGCACTTTTTTGCCATGTGTTTCTATCAGTATGTGCTATTTTCTCTTCCTAAACTGTGGGCTTAATTCCCACTTTCCCTGAGGCTCTTTTACTCCACCCTGGCAGCACTATCTGCCAAATCCCATTAGGAGCCCCTCCTCAACACAGACAAAGCCATGAAAGCTTATTTAATAGAAAAAAAAGAGTCAAGCTGTTTGTTTATAATATACCTGTTAGTCCCAAAGCAACTGCAGATTCCCCACCCACCACGGGTGGAAACAGGCAAGAAATGACAAAAGCACCCTAGGTTTATGATATCCTAATTCTGCCTTTCAATAAATAGATAAATAAAAGCAGGCACATGGCCAGAGTAACCTGAAGCACCCGTAAGAGCATGTTCTCCAAGACTTGGTTGGATCAGTTTCTACGCAAAGCCACAAGCTTCAGTTTCAAACCAGGTTGTTAAAACAGGGCTCTGTCTCAGCTTTTACCATGGGAAGGGGCAATGGATGCAGGACCAGACAACCTCCGTTGCTTTTTGTGCAGACCTGCCCAGGGAAGGAAGAGGAACAATCTATCACCACCACCCGCTCCTGCCATCTCAGAGCAGCTCCCATACATCTGCTTGGTGACCTGTGATGCTGGCAGCCAGCGCTGAGGTATGAGATATATGTCCCTGCCTCCCATTTCTGCAAACACAGAGCGGACCCGAGCAATTAGAGACTTTAGTATTTTATGTGCCTCTTGCCCCGTGCTGCTTACTGCCAGCCCGCAGAGTTCACCGGCTGCTTTTCCTCTCAGTGACAAACGCACTAATAAATCTCAAAACTCTTTTGCTGGATCACAGCAACATATTATTTTAAATAATCATTTGGAAAATTACCTGGCAAAGGACATTGCTATTATTTCTACTATGGAAAGGAGCCAGATTTACAAAAGGCCCGCAGGCAGGCTTGTGGTAATTGATTACCTTGGTCTTTCATCTCCAAAGACAACCTGTGACTCTTGCCCAGGCACAGCTTTATCTCTAACCCCTCCAACAAGGACACCGTACTACATTTGTACTACATTTATTAATTATAGCAGTGGTCAAAAAACAGATGTTCCCAAAGGGGACGGCAGTGCTAGGTGGAGTACATGGCTGTCGGTCTCCCTAAAGGAGACTTGACTTCCCTGAGCTTTCCTCAGCACGGTTGGTCACAGCCCATGAGCGTGCACTGCATTTTTGGGTGAAAATGCAAAAGCTCATGGTTTAGCATGGGAGTTCCCACTGCTTCAGACCAGACAGTAACTGGCACAGAGGATTGCTGAGACCTGCAGAGTCAAAGGCATCCATTTGGAGTGGTGTTGTGATTCTCTTGTATACCTCAGCAGAGAATTGCCCTAGAAAATTAAAGAAGATACCCTGCCAGAGGAGAAGGCTAGAGCTCTACCTGCTATGGGAAGCTCCCCCAACACTCACTGCATCCCCCAGGCCATCGGGAGTTACACGGCAGGCTGAGCCAGCTCCCAGTAATCACAGAGCACCAAGGAGAGTAAAAGATCTCTCTTGTCCCTACAGGCAGTCCTTCTGGTGTTGGGGCCAAAGGAGCAAACATACGCCACTCTAAAGGTGTAATTAAGTCTGCTGCCCATGAGGGAAACTTTAGAGTAGGGCACTTTAATCTGGAAGCATCCTTATGTGAATATCCCCTGCCGTGTCTGGGACATTTGCCCGTTGAGATCACCAATTACAACCCTGCAAAACGGCATTTTGCACACACTGGCGTTTTTCTCTCATCTTCCTTCTGATCTCCTATACCCTCATTCCCATGCAGGAAACTGACTCACACCCCAATCCAAAAATGCACACCACAGACCTCACTTTATCAATGTCTCTACCAAAATGCAGCTTCAAAGACCTGGGAAGCCATGAGGTTCAGGATGGAGAGCATAACCACAATGAAGTGAGACAGGTAGGAGCTAGGAGGGAAACAGCTACACCCTCCACAGCCATCCACATCTACCAACGACAACCACGGCCAGGAGCCAAGCTCATGTCTCTTAGGAGACCTGGAGCAGCTAAAGCTGTGTAACTCCTAACCGGACAGCAGAGTGGGGAACACAAAGATGGGGCTGGGAGCTTGGGGAGCGCTGTTCTTTTCTGGAGAGATGAGAGAAGTTTACAGAGACATAACCCAGAGCAGGGAAAGACACTTCCTTGAGATATAAGTAGCAATAAGAAA